GATTATCCATTTAGGAAAACTAGTAGATCATAATCCCAAATGAGAAAGAGGATATCCTGAGCTCCCCAACCAATATGGTTTAATTTTACCAAAATCCATAAGCTTGTTAAGATCATTGGAGAATCCTTCAGATGCAATGATTTTCTTTTATGTACTATATATTTTTTATGTTCTAAAAACTAGTAAAGAAATTTTAGCATTCAAAATAAGACCCGTATCTTTAACTCGATTATTTCTAATAGATGGCTTTGTATACATGTATACGTATTTACACGTATTTTATAAGTCAACGTATTCTTTGCCGAATTTTTGACCGTATTTTTTCTTCAAGTTACCAAATAAAAGACGTACGTATTGAACCACGTTTAATTCCCTTACTGTATTTAACTAGCTATGGTTGGTGCTCCTGCTGCTAAAATATGTGGTGTGGTCTGATCTAAGTAAAAACATCCTTAGTCACAAACCCACCTCGCACATTATGTTTCAAGCTAGGCTTTCCTAAATTTCTCTGTTTGTCAAGATCATAACAGGTTGTACTAAAAACTTTATGCTCCAAGTATTATTGATGTATGATACTATAGCTATTATTATCAGCAAGAATTTTGTACTACAGGTTATAAGGTTCAAAGCCCTTAGTAAAATTTTATGATTCTTGGACTAAACCTATCTAAGTGATACATCATGAGTTTTGCATATAAAGATTATATCCCACTCGATTTTGAAACATAATGCTCCGTAGTGATTTCTCAATTCAAATTAGAAATGGAGTGATTTTTGTCCCTCCAAATGGAGTAATTGGGATTTGTAAATAATAGTATGAAAAGTTTTTTAAGTTGATATACTAGTAAAGGTTTCTACTCTAAAACTAGAAGGCTAAAGAAAGAGCAAAAAGTGTGGAATAAAGATATTTTTGACATATATCTAATGATGCTTCAGTGACTTAAATACTTAATAATATACACAGTTGAAATTTTACATTACTTTTCTTTACCTTTGGATTAGTCATGTAGGATCAGGCGATCAGCAATTAATGGTTATTAGAATTTGATCCTGAAACACTTTTTTTTGGGAATTCTCTGCTTTTAAATAAGTTTTTAAAATAATAAAGTAATTAGCTTATCTTTAATGTATAGGTTCACTAGAAATGTTTTGTTTAAACCTGTAAAAACAAGATTTAAAAGTTCACTAGAAATAAACATTAGTATTCCATTATAAAATTAACATTAGTATTCCATTATTTCACTAGAAATAAACATTAGTATTCCATTATTTCATAGAATAATATTTTCTCAGGAAGCACTCTCTATAACGTGGGGTAATAATTCCAGCTGTTGCTTCCATGATAAGCACCACTCTCCAGGTGCATAAACAAAGCTTCATGCTCATTAGTGAGGTGCTTCAATGACTTGGTTTTTAGATGGACTGGCACCTATAATTATCTATAATGGGAGTTAGTATCTAAAGTAAATGCTGTGTTCATCCTATATCACAATACATATGTTTTCCTTTTTCACCATTAATCACTTCTTCTTTTCTACTCCTCTTCTTATTACGGGATTTTCCTTAGGAATATCTTGAACATGAAAAGGAAAATAGCTGATGTTGTCTCAAGTTGGTAAGTAGGGAAGGATGGGGATGGAAATCAGGTCTGGGAAGGTAAGATGGATGGGTTGAAGTCATATGTCAAGAGGAGCAACAAAGTGGTTAAAAACAAGTTCAAGGTTGATTATTCCTCCCAAAAACATTCATGGTGAACGAGTGGCCTAGCCAGGTTAGGGGGCCGGTTTCAAGAATTTATGATGTGAGGTCAAAGTTTAAAATTTCATTATATTTGTTACTGCCTATAAATATTTGTAAATATGTATATGTTGCAACTTTTTTAGGGTTTAATGCATCAAACCCACTTGTGAAATATAAATTTGGCTCATTATATTAGTCCCCTGTGATTTAAAAGATGCATCAAACCCCATGCATCCAAGAACAAATTTAATTTCCAAAAAATGAAAAATTAGTTTTTTTTTTTTGTGTGTGTATAATATGATGAGATTGTTATGGCCTTGAGTAGTCTAGATGTTTGAATTGACTGCAAAAAAAGAGTTTAGTATTGTTTTTGAAAATGTGACATTGAATGTTGTTTACTTTTTTGTTTTGTTTTCTCATTCTGTGTTTATGAACAATGATCATCTCCTTATGTAGCAGTAGCACAAGCAGAAGAATTTCTACCTTAGCTTCTATGTTGCTTCTATTTGGGCTAGTCTTTGTTTATACATTGGTGGAGATTCTGGACTCTCCACCACTGAAATGCTGTAGAGTGTTTCAAGTATCAAATTTATGAAAAAAATCTGCTACATGTTTCAGACATATATGTGATTCAGGGAGTGTTTGCAACTGCTTTGCTTAAAAAAAGCACTTTTGGAGATGTAAAGAAAAAGTGAATAGTAGTAAAAGTTGATAGTGTTTGAGAAAAAAGTGATTTTGATAAGTAAAAGTTGGTAGCGTTCGGTAAAATAAGTGCTTTTTGTGTAATAGAAAAGGGAAAAACACTTTTCACACCCAAGCCGAGAAAAAGTAAAAATTGGTAGTGTTTAGTAAATAAATGCTTTTTTAAGGCAAAAGTGAGAAGTGTTTTTTTTTTAAGTTGTTGCAAACACTCCCTCAGTGATATCACTAGTCTTACAATTGTGGTACTCTAAAACTAGACACACTTTTTAGTTTTTTCCAAAAGAAAAAAGGAAAAATTGATAGTAATAATCCCAACTATTGGCGGTCCGCTCATAATAATCCCAACTATTGATTATTACAGAATAATCCCAACTTTATGGACCTTCCGCCAATAATGGTCCCTATGAATAAATTCTTGTAGTTTCTAAAGTGGATGAGATGAAATATAACAAGTAATCCCTATAAATAATCTCAACTTTTAATTTTTACGCTTAATTTCTATTTAAAATTCACTTTTTATAGAGGTAATATATGGTCATGGACCATTATTGGCGGATAATCTATATAGTTGGGATTATACAAAAATAATCAATAGTTGGGATTATTTTCAGCTAGCGGACCAGCAATAGTTGGGATTATTATTTTCAATTTTTCCAAGAAAAAAATATAACTTACGTATGAAATATTCAACGGTTGGAAAGATTTTGCTTAGGGGTGGAATATATACCCATTTGATTTGACCGAATCGAACCATACAAATCCGAACTACACCGAACTGAAACTATACCATATGCAATTTGGTTGAGTTTGGTAGTATTTCTTCCAACCCATATTAAAACCAACCGAATAGAAACCGAGAAAAACCGAACCAAACTAAAGATATTCAATAAAACATTCACATGTTATTCAGAAATAACAAATCGAAATTTTATCAAGTTGAACGAAACCGAACTGAACCAAACAAAAAAATAACATGTTGTTTGGTAATGATCTTCCAATCTGTTCCAAACCGAATCTAAGTGAAACCAATAAAAACCGAACCGAAAATCGACATGTTCACCCCTAGTTTTGGTATTGTTTGAACGAAGAGAATTACCCAATGGCCGAAAATGAAATCCAACGTTTTAAAATATATATTTTTTATTAAACGAAAAAGCCAAAAATTTAACTTAACCAAACTTTAATTTTGTACTTAAAAAAGTGGTGTTTTAAAAGTTTAAGTAATACAGTATTTTTTTGGGACGTACTCACACTTCTATTATAATATTCGCTTTTTGTTAAATACCAATATCCTTGAAATTAGATGAGTTTCAACCTTGTGACATTCTCTTAGGAGTGTCACAGTGATGTTATCCAACTACAAAATATTTAACATAGAAATGTTTAGCAGCAGTTTTTTTTTAAATATCTGAAGTAATGTTTCAGTAATCCAATGAGGAGTATAAAATGCAAAGTGGTAGATATTGAATCTATGGGAATATAGAAAAAGATGTATTGACAGAATGAATAATGTGTTGTACTCGTATAATAAAAAGAATGAGTAGTGGAACTTATTGTTATTGAGGGTGCATGAATACATATACGGAGCGTTTGCAATTGCTTCTACTTAAAAAAAGCATTGTTAGAGTGATTGAGAAAAAGACATAAGTAGTAAAAGTTGCTAGTGTTTGAGAAAAAAGTGATTTTAAAAAGTAAAAGTTGGTAGTGTTTAGTAAAATAAGTGTTTTTTGTATAATAGAAAAGAGAAAAGCACTTTTCACACGCAAGCCGAAAAAAAGTAAAAATTGTTAGTGTTTGGTAAAGAAGTGCTTTTTAAGCCAAAAACTGAGAAGTGCTTTTTTTAAACTATTGCAAACACTTCCATAGTCGTATTGCTTTTCTATTGTTTTCTTGTTCTTACTATGATAATGATTATTATTGTTATTGTATATTTTATACGGAGTAATTATTTTTATTGTCATTTTTATTGTTATTAATATTATTTTAATTATGTTTTTTATTTTAAAATGGTAAATATACAGTATATATTTTGAGAATTAAAAAAACATCTCAATTTATAAAATCTTTTATTTCATCCACTTCCTCAATAGGTAAAAGTAAATTGCATACTAACAAAATTATTGCTTAAAAAACGATTTTAAAAAGTTGAGGGACTAACAACCTTAAAAGGATGGTAAAAAAACAGTATCAAAAGGTTGATGTTTCAAAATTTTCTCTAACTAGATTTCAACATCCCAATTTCAAAAAGTAATCATATCAAATAAGATGTCATACACTTTTTGATTTTTTTTTACAAAATTAAAACATTATTGGGCATTAGAAAATCTTTTCTGAGATGAACGCAAATATTGTGACAAAAACAAATTAAAATATCAATCCAGCTAGGTACACATTTTCATACACACATCTACACACTCATGTTTCGGAATAATATTTTTCTGTCTGTATACAGGCATACCATATTTTCAGAAAAAGCTCTTCCCGAACATGAGTGTATAGGTGTGTGTATGAAAAATGCGTACAAATAGATTTTTTGGTTAAAATATTACTATGGGCGTTGAAATTTTAAGGCAGATACGTGCTTGCCTTTTGCCCTAATAATATATCCGGAAATTTGTTGCCCTTCCTAAGTTCCTAACTGAAAGAGCACCTCACTTCAGGTAACGCTTTCCCGACTACACCTCTCATATATCACCTACTATCCTCACCACCAGCCGCCGCCGCAGCACTACCGGCTAACGAAAGAGTCCAGATCTGGAAATTGATCGTCCTGATCCGTAATCCGATGGGAAAAGGAGGAGCTTTGAGCGAGGGTGTGGTGAAGAAGATCCTGCTTTCATACTCCTATGTCGCCATCTGGATCTTCCTCTCCTTCACCGTCATCGTCTACAATAAGTACATCCTCGATCACAAGATGTACAACTGGCCGTATCCTATCTCGCTCACTATGATCCACATGGCTTTCTGCTCGTCCTTGGCCTACGTCCTCGTCCGGGTCGTCAAGCTCGTCGAGCCGGTTTCAATGTCATGGGATCTGTACTTCAAATCCGTCGTTCCTATCGGCCTCCTCTATTCCTTTTCGCTCTGGCTCTCCAATTCCGCTTACATTTATCTCTCCGTCTCCTTCATCCAGATGCTCAAGGCTCTGATGCCTGTCGCCGTGTACTCCATCGGAGTTCTGTTTAAGAAGGACGCTTTCAAGTCCGAGACAATGACGAATATGATATCGATTTCGGTAGGTGTCGCGATTGCCGCATATGGCGAGGCTAAATTCGACACGTGGGGAGTGATTCTGCAATTAGGGGCAGTTGCATTTGAGGCTACCAGGTTAGTCATGATTCAGATCCTGCTCACCTCGAAGGGTATCACGCTTAACCCTATTACTTCCCTTTATTATGTGGCGCCATGTTGTTTGGTTTTCTTGTTTGTTCCATGGGTTTTTGTTGAGTACCCTGTTTTAAGGGAGAATTCCAGCTTCCATTTAGATTATGTCATCTTTGGGACCAACTCCTTGTGTGCATTTGCTCTCAACCTTGCTGTGTTCTTGCTTGTGGGCAAGACTTCTGCTTTAACCATGAATGTTGCTGGAGTGGTTAAGGATTGGTTGTTGATTGCATTTTCCTGGTCTGTGATTAAAGATACTGTTACCCCAATCAACCTCTTTGGGTATGGATTGGCTTTCTTGGGTGTGGCATACTACAATCACTCAAAACTACAGGCACTTAAGGCTAAGGAGGCACAGAAGAAGCCTTCTCAGCCTGATGATGAGGAGGCTGGCAGGTTGTTGGAAGAAAGGGAAGGGGAGAACGTAACTAAAAAGAACGAAGCACCTTGAGAAGTTAACACTACATTAATATTAATGGTCCTTGGTTTTGATTAGGTGAGGTCTATGGAGATAAGAGGGGGGAAATGAAGATCTGATAACAGATAGGCGAAGATACTACTTCTACTTTTTCTTTTGTCTATCTAAATTTAAGGTATTCGATTTTACTTAATACATACAGTATCTCTTAAGCTTGACTTGAGGCTCTTTTAAATATGTCTTAGAATTAAGACTCAATATACTTCATTAATTATACGAGTATTATCTTTGAACTCTTATTTGATCCAAGTGTTAGTTATTTTCTGTATTGCCTGTTCCATTTCTCTTGATCTCTTCACCAATTTTATTTATTAGTTGCATTCTCCAAGTCAGCAGGGGTACTAGTATTCCTTAGGAAAAATTGAAAATAATAATCTCAACTATTGCCGGTCCGCTCAAAATAATCCCAACTATTGATTATTTTTGTATAATCCCAACTATATAGACTGTCCGCCAATAATGGTCCATGATCAGATATTACCTCTATAAAAAAGTGAATTTTAAATAGAAATTAAACGTAAAAATTAAAAGTTGAGATTATTTATAGGGATTACTTGTTATATCTCATCTCATCCACTTTAGAAACTACAAGAATTTATTCATAGGGACCATTATTGGCAGAAGGTCCCTAAAGTTGGGATTATTCTGGAATAATCAATAGTTGAGATTATTATGAGCGGACCGCCAATAGTTGGGATTATTACTATCAATTTTTCCTATTCCTTATTAGAATGAAGTTGTGATCTTCTTTAACGCCATTATATAAATACTCGCTACTTACTCGCAATGTGCGAGAGCATATGCCTAATACATATTAAAAACACGAGAACTAATAATGTTCATCAATGTGATTCATATAATTTGTCACGTTATAGTCATCTCTTGACTTTTGGCTCATAATCCTCATGTTTGTAACAACATCAACATGAATCGACCCATGAAAACATTTTGATCCTTTATGGGAGACTCATTTTTATACTATGAAAGGCTTTTTTTTGTTTGTTTACCCAGAATTGTGATTTTGATAATCTAATCTGGCAAAAAATGATGACACTAGCACACTGCTAGCCTTTGTTAAATCGGCGTTTCAAGAGAAATCAGTTGAACCCAGTCTAGTAAAACATACAGACATGGGCTTTTGCCCAACAAAGCCAGTAGTCATGTGAAAGAACCTGATATTGAAAGAACCTGAAACATGTGACAATCAGGCTGGTGAAGAGATCACTTATTCACTTCAGTCTTGGGGAAACAGGGTTTTTATGCTATTCTTGTACACGTTTCCTAACAACATAAATTGTAGGAGAAGCCATATGCTGAGTAGGAGGTATACAAATAATATTCTGATCGAGACAAGTCCCACCCAATTTTACCTTGCAAGCCTTTGAGTCCACTCTGCCGCTAGTTCATTATGTCGTGCTCTATTGACCAAATACAACTGAGCAATACCAGGAACAACAGCATTATATGTGTCCAGAGTCGTAAACATAGATTCGAAATTGTTAAAGTTGGCCTCCAACCATCTCTCAAAATGACCAAACTAACAAGGCCAGCAGGATCAACATTACAATGGTAGATGCGAGTTTTGAAAACAACCATTGGAATTTGGAAGTTTGAATGGATACTCAGATGGGAATGTTATGCCAAGGAAATATTTTACACCATTATAAGGTGTCCCAGGGCGACGAAGAGTGGCGACCCAATGGTAAAGATTATCACCTTTGGGACCAGTGACACAGTCGGGCAGAGGGTCCCAGCTAAGCTCCACCATCACTTTCTGTATTCATTTTCCAGAAGGTGAAACCGAGATGAAGCCGATGTCGTGTCGTGGATGGCCACGACCGTCCTCCTCCACTGCCGCCCCCTCTTCCACATCCAGACGTGGCTCCGGCCGCCCCAAATATTTGACAAGTTATGATTAGTTTATTACCGGTCATTTTAAGTACGGATATGTTTGGTTCCGCCTGCTATGAAAGGCTATTGATAAGAAACAATGATATGTATAATACTAAAATGAAGATGATGAATAAAAATGTGGTCTCTAGATGATATGTATAATAGTAATTTTTAGTATAATAGTAATTTTTAGTGATTATAATTATGCTTAAGTTGGTGGAGGTAGGAGTGGTAAAAGTGGATTATCCTAGATGGTAAGAATATATCGGTCAGTGATCTGGTCCCTTACTCTGGCTCCATAGTTGAGAAAGATAGTGAGCTAGATGCGGATGTATCTCATAGAATCAGAACAAAGTACATGAAATGGAAGAGTGCATTAAGATTTCTATGTGATTAAGGCATGCCGACTAGACTGAAGTGAAAATTTTATCGGACAATAATTAGGCATGTATTATTATATGTCGTAGAGTGTTGGGTGGTGAAATCATATCACATTCAAGTTATAAAGTTTGATTATTGTTATTTAGGATGTTTTTACTTGGACTGTTTTCAGTCGCAGACTAGATCGGACCAGACTAGACCAGACTTCAATAATTATAAAATATACAGAGATCAGACGTTTACCAGACCAGTTCAGACTAAACCAGACTAGATGAGACCAGACCAACAAATTTCAATCCGAGTGAAAACATCCTTAATTGATTACATGTTTGTTGTGGTATGTGTAAGTAGTGATGGCAACGGGGCGGATCGGGGACGGGTACACATAAAACCGGAACCGCCCCGTTGGATAAATGTTTGCCCCAAAACCGCCCCAAAATGTTTGCCACATTAAACGGTTTATCCACGGGTAACCGTTTCCCCAAATGATACCAAATAACCAACTTTTTTGGGAAAACAAATAACCAATTTTTAATCCTACTTGTTATTTATATATTCAAAGCACCCTAAAACATACAAAAATAAACATTTAAGCAATCAAGCATACTGACCTAAATTCATTAGTATGACATGCACCCAATATCTCTTGTAACATAATAAAAAAATAGTAATCATCCTAGAATCCAAATTTCAAAAATAGGTTTAGGCCTATATTTAGTTTTAGGCCTAAAAAAGTAGTATACTTTTTAGCATTATTTATATGATATATACTATTTATTATACACAATTTAGCATATATAGTTATTATTCTTATATATAAAAAGTTATAATTTATTAATAATGTTATCGATCGGGTAACGGTGCGGGTACCCGCACCACTAGTGAACGGGGCGGTTTCGGGGCGGATAACGGGGTGGATTAGTATAGAATCATAACCGCACCATTAACCATTTAAAAAATTCGGGTATTCCCCGCCCCGTACCCATTCCCCAGTCAAACCGGTTTTCCCCAATTTGACCAAATCGGTTCGGTGCGGGTATCCAACGGGTCGGTCGAAATTGCCATCTCTATGTGCAAGCGAATCAGTAATCAGACAAGCGAATTAGTTTCTTGTCTGATTCTAGGGGCACGCCTTAAGGAGTGTTTGGGTTTGCTTAAAAAAAGCGCTTTTCAGCTTTTGGTTTAAAAAAAGTTGAAAAGAGTGTTTTCAAATGACAGCTTCTGCTTAAATTAATCACTTAAAAGCTAAAAACTGGAAGCAGGTAGAAGGGTGCTTTAAACTGCTTCTCACTTTTTCTATTACACAAAAAGTACTTATTTTACCAAACACTACCAACTTTTACTTTTCCAGAATCACTTTTTTTTCAAACACTACCAACTTTTACTATTAATCACTTTTCCCAAAATCACTTTAAAAAATCACTTTTTTAAAGTTGAAGCAATTGCAAACACTCCCTTAGTTATGTGTAACCTTGTTATCATTAAGCGGTCTTCTACCAAACTTGTTTTTGGTCCCAAACTTGTTTTATACCGATTGTATATGGTTAGGTTATACAAGTACGGAGTATGTTTCTTTTATCTTTTTTCCTTTTCCTTATAAAACTCTCTCTCTCCCTCCCCCCTCCATTTACATATGTTTTTTTCTATGTGTACCAATCTCTCTTGTAAGATTGGGAATTGGGATTAGGGTGGACTCGGGTCGGGCCGTTCGGCCCAGAACCAGACCGGCCCGGTACTGTTTGGGCCCGCCCCGGTACCCGGTCTTGGGGCCGGTTCGGGCCAACTGGAACCGCTCAACTCCTTTTTCGGGCTTGGGCCTTGAAAATGTTGAACCGGCCCGAGCCCGGTCCGGACCATTTTTTTTCATTTTTTTTTTGTTTCCACTAGGTAGGGCTGGGTGTTTTGGGGGGATTTGGGTGGTGGAGGGTGAAGGTGGGGTCGGGGGTAATTTAGAAAAACAAAAGAAAAAAAAAATATTAACATTGATCCGGAAACCGGCCCGGCCCGGCCCGGCCCGGAACTGCTGGTCACTCTGGCCGCTTTCGGTTCCCTACTTCCCAAACAAAAGCCCGGCCAGGCCCGAACCGGAACCGGCCCGGCCAGGGTCCATCCCTAATTGGGATCTGTCCGGTCTGGATCGTGTTTTTGCTAGACCCAAAAATTACCTGTACGGTCCCGAATTATGAAAATTAGGGGATGGAGCAAAAGCTCATTATATTCGGTCCGAGTCAGGTTTTTGGTAGCCCGAGTTCGGTCCGGAATCGGGTTGAGCCGGTTAATGCTCGAACGTGAAATCATCTTGTTTTCCTTATATATTTTAAACCATTTTTTCGAATAAATTTAATAAAAAATTCAAACCGCAAATAATAACACAAATATTAGTCTCCAAAATCACCAACAATTCAAATCCAAAGAAGATAATTATCTTAATATTTTTTTAACGTGCATATGAATAAATAATATAGATTTTCTAAAAATATTGTTAATAAATGTTTAAGATAAAAGTGTGACTAACATAGTATAAATATATTTTCATGATCATTACGATATACAAAATTGAATATATTTGTAGGCACTAAAAGTTACCGAGTCATTTGTTCATTCACCATGATATATAATTATATAATAGGAATTATTTATAAATTAGATTCATACATGATTTCGATTTTTATATTAAAGTTAATTGTTTCGGGTTTTTATCGGTCCGGACCGGATTATAAATTTTAGAACTCGTTTATGAGCCCGAATTTATGGGTTTGGTCCTGGTTCTTTTTATTTGGGCCGGTTAAAAAGAAAAAACCCGGAGCAGGAATATCATTCGGGTCGGGCTCGAGTCAGTTTCTGGATTTCGGTTCGGTTTTTCTCACCCCTACTCTCTTGGACTCGTAGTACTGATCTCTCTTGGACTTCCTTGTTTCTACTTATTCTTCTTAAATCTATCTACAGAGGAGAGAAACAAGAGAGGTCATATGCTCTGCTCCCACCATACCAGCAACATTGAGAGAGCATGTTTACGTATAAAACACAAAGAAAGATCCCCAAAAACTCCTAATTGTCCTCGTGAATGCATCAAACAATGAGAATGTATTTAAATCTCTAAAAACAAAATTCGTGTCAAATTTGAAAATATAAAAAATTTATGTGATCAATCATTGAATCATAAACCCTCCACAAATAATCGGAATTGTAAATGGATATTTCAAGATTGGGGATAAAAAAATTGAAGAGCAGAACCATTTTTAAAACGCTCCTCCCCGTGTAACTGATGATAGGATAATTTATTCATATTATATGATGTAGATCTAGAGCCCGTTTGGAGAACTCTGTTTTCGGCTTATCAGGCTTATCAGCCAGCTTTTTCACTAAACACGTAACTTTTACTTTCGCGCGCTGAATTGTGTAATAAGCCGAAAAAGTAAGGTTGAAGTTACTTTTCTGGCTGTATTGGCTGAAGTTACTGTAGAGGACCATTTTAGCTATTTTTACATATAATTTTTTCTTTAATTTATTAATAAAATATATTTTTAAAATATTTTTTTCTTAAATCAGCAGAATCAGCCAAAACAGCCACTCCAGCCAGAATATCATAAATTTCTGCAGAATCAGCCAAAACAATCGATTTTGGTGCTACCAAACGGGCTCCTAGTTTGGGATTTGCAGGATGGGTAGGAAACAGGAAAGTAGAGAACAAGGGAGTATAATAATAATAATATAATAATAATAATAATAATGATAATAATAATAATAGTAATAATAATAATAATAATAATAATAATAATAATAATAATAATAATAATAATAATAATAATAATAATAATAATAATAATAATAATAATAATAATAATAATAATAATAATAATAATAATAATAATAATAATAATAATAAGAAATAATTACATAAATATGACCAAAATAAAGATGATTTACAAAAATATGATTCATTACTAGAGTAGTAATGAAATCTTAGTAATTCATGTTCAAGTTTTGAACTTTAATTACCACAGCACTACGTTGTAGTAATGAATATTCATATTTATATAAATAAGTTTTATTTTAGTAATATTCTCGTAAAAAGCCCTAATAATAATAATAATAATAATAATAATAATAATAATAATAATAATAATAATAATAATAATAATAATAATAATAATAATAATAATAATAATAATAATAATAATAATAATAATATGAACCAAGCATTCCAGCCCAGCTGGTTGTGAGGTTACCGTACTTAGTGAGAGGTCTCGAGTTCGAAACCCGCTAGGCAAATAAGGGTTCAAAACTCAATGGAATGAGTTTCAGGCCTGATTACTCTAGGCTCCTCCCCCAGACCCCCTGGAGTAAAAAAAAGTATAATAATAATGCGCAGACTACTCCATTGGATATCGGGTGAAAAGCATGAAACAGACTAATTTCATTTGAGTTGTATAAGAGGTACCCAGTTACCACGGTCTAATATTAGAAGACATGTTATAAAGATTGGATTATTTACTGGTCAATCTAAAGTGGGATTGTTTAATAAGATAGGATAAAATGGGATTACTAACATCAATTTTTCCCTAATAGTTTAATACTATGTATAAATTTTTGATGTCAAAACTGCCCTACGCATAATCATAACCTCTTTCTGGTGTCAAAAAATCATAACCTATTTATGTAGAACCAACTAAACACTTCAAAAAACGGACGTTTCCCTCAAGAAGGGTTTGAGTTTGTGGCCGTCGTTTACATCGTGCGGATTCCTTGGAATTTCGTTATGAGTTCTTTGGCCAATGATTCAAGGGCGTTAAGGATGATAAATGGTTGTACAGTTTAAAGGCAAGAGCAGGAGCATCTACTCACGGACTACAGATTTAAAGTTATTAATCTTGGGGCTGGATGACGAGATAAACAAGGAAATAAAGTTTTGACAGTCCTCACCTCTCGGAGTGACCGTGTGGTTAGGACTTAGGATTTGGAAGACGATGCTTCAAGTTTGGATTGAGGCTCTATTTGCAATCACTTTTGTTTAAATAAAAACACCTTTTGAGAAAAGTTATTAGTAATAAAAGTTTGTAGTGTTTGGTAAATTAAGTATTTTTTGTGTAATAGAAAAAATAAAAAGTAGATTCTACACAAAAACCGAGAAAGTAAAAGTTGATAGTGTTTGATAAAATAAGTGTTTTTTTCTTTAAAAAAAGCCACAATCACTTGTTTTAAGTGATTGCAAAAAGAGTCTAAGTCACTTTCATTTTCTTGTTCTATTTTTATTTCAACTTTTCTTTTTTAGACTTTTCACCTTGGTTTTGGTTTGGTTGTATTGGTGTCGTTCTTTAGATGTTTAAGGTCGTTATTTGCCTCAAAGCTCCCGTATGTTTAGTAAAACATTTCGCTCTATTTGTGTGAATTTTTCTATGCCTGATCATGGACTGATGAGACTTTTGGACATTTTGAAGCGAGAAAGAGTACGGTGACCTAAAGGGTAAAAAAGAACTATATGTTGTCCATTTGGTCACTATCGATTTGCGTTGCTTCTTTGGAGGTGACCGTCTCAGAATCTGATCATAGAGCATGTTTTGAGTCTAGATGAAGTATTTTGGAATAATATATTTAGATGGTTTAAGTGCAAACGTTTATTTACATTAATATACTTAGGCTTATGCCTATTCACGCTTATGGTGGTCAACTCTCCAGTTGACCACCTTTTTCATGTCTTTCTACCATGCAAAGCGTTTCCCCGACGCCTCACGCTTAGGCACGCCTAGACCCTGCCTTTTGCCGTCCTTTAAAATATTGAACTGCACTAGTAATGTATATTCTTGGATAGAAAGAGAACTCTCAAATGAGATCCTTATTTTCATTTATTTTAATGATGACAAACATAAATACACGATAAGGAAGTAATTCAGTTTTTTTTTGGCAAAAAGAAGTAAATCAGTTTTTGTACAAAAAAATAATAGAGTATGTAAGAATGAAATCATAAACAGGACATGTAATGAGAGATAACAAGACGGGTAACTATAAACTCATAACTATATTACTCATACAAATATGAAGACCACTTCATGTTCCATTATATCAGAGAAATCGTAATTAAAGCCGGTGAGCGTAGCTCAACTTATAGATAGGAGTGCCACAAGGGGTAAGTCTCGAGTTCAAATCTCGATAAATGAGATGAGAAGTTACTATGTAAAAATGCATAGTCTCTGCAAGTATTTGAGTCAATGCTCCACTCAATATCTGGCGACCGGTGGCGACAGGTGTTGCCAATAGAATAGCAGATGATTTTTGTCGAGATACACATAATTACTCACATTTAAAAAGTTTAGAACAATAACTCATATTTTTGCATTTGGTCCATGCTGTACTCTTTATTTGAGAATTCACTCCGAAATAAGAGTAAAAATGTTTGAGAATTTCAAAATAGGATTATCATATTTTTATTCTCTAAATAAGAGTAATTACTGTCAAACTTGACAAATACTTTCGTATAAAAAATCTGGTAGTGTCAAAATAAGATAGCATTAATCCAGAACAAGGATTTCCAAGCCGAAGATTGTTAAGTAGATTCCAAATTGTTTCAAAAAAAAGTAGATTCCAAATACGAAGATAAAGAAAGGCCACTTTAATGCATTGCGCTAGAAATATAGTACTTTGCATATCCAGTTTTCAATCTAGCAGGTATAGCAGGTTTACTAGCCATTGATCCAGTTATAGAACTAGTTTGAATGTTAGTTCTAGTGATTCAAATAGTAGTAATTACTTCTATTTAAATAAAAACATGATAATCCTATTGTTCTCACCAACAAATTTGTTGCCTTTTGTAACTGAACTGTTCTCACTCCAAGTAACGTTTTTAATCTAGGGTAATTTCCCTATTATATTCCGCTCCTATGTGATTTTCTTCATTTTGACACGAATAACCAATTCAAATATCCAAGGGATTTAGGGATCGTTACATCCGTAGGATTAGGGGCGGAGGTGGAGGGGTGGCCAACCGGACTCCGACCCATCCCAAATTTTAAAATTGCTTATACTTTTAATGTAAAAACTTACGTGTAAAAATTTATCTGTAAAAATTCTTTGTATCAGCCCCGCCCAACTCTTAGTTCTGGCTACGCCCCTGCTTAGGATTAATGCAAATATTGTGACAACTGAAAGAATTGAAATACTAAGAATGTTTTTACTTGGACTATAATACGTCTCTAACCAGACCAGACTTGGATAGTTATAAAAAATACAAAAAAATTATACATTACCATACCAAATCAAATCATAATATAGATATAGAGTACTCCGCATGAAAAATTAAAATTTAACGGAAAATCCACCGACAAATTTGTTGGCTTTCGTAACTGAAGTGTTCTCACTTCAAGAGTTCAAGTAACGCTTTTTGCGACTACATCCCATATTCCCTACAATCCTCACCACCGGCCGCCGCCGCAACACTGCCGACTTACGGAAGAGTCCAGATCTGGTAATTGGTCGTCCTGATCCGTAATTGTTGTTCTCCGATGGGAAAAGGGGGAGCTCTGAGTGAGGGTGTACTGAAGAAGATCCTGCTTTCATACTCGTATGTCGCCATCTGGATCTTCCTCTCCTTCACCGTCATCGTCTACAATAAGTACATCCTCGATCACAAAATGTACAATTGGCCGTATCCGATCTCGCTTACCATGATCCACATGGCTTTCTGCTCGTCCTTGGCCTACGTTCTCGTCCGGGTCATCAAGCTCGTCGAGCCGGTTTCAATGTCATGGGATCTGTACTTCAAATCCGTCGTTCCTATCGGCCTCCTCTATTCCTTTTCTCTCTGGCTCTCCAATTCCGCTTACATTTACCTCTCCGTCTCCTTCATCCAGATGCTCAAGGCTCTTATGCCGGTCGCCGTGTACTCCATCGGAGTTCTGTTTAAGAAGGACGCTTTCAAGTCCGAGACAATGACGAATATGATATCGATTTCGGTAGGTGTCGCGATTGCCGCGTACGGCGAGGCTAAATTCGACACGTGGGGAGTGATTCTGCAATTAGGCGCTGTGGCATTTGAGGCTACCAGGTTAGTCATGATTCAGATCCTGCTCACTTCCAAGGGTATCACGCTTAACCCTATTACTTCCCTTTATTATGTGGCGCCATGTTGTTTGGTTTTCTTGTTTGTTCCATGGGTTGTTGTTGAGTACCCTGTTTTAAGGGAGAATTCCAGCTTCCATTTAGATTATGTCATCTTTGGGACCAATTCTTTGTGTGCATTTGCTCTCAACCTTGCTGTGTTCTTGCTTGTGGGCAAGACTTCTGCTTTAACCATGAATGTTGCTGGAGTGGTTAAGGATTGGTTGTTGATTGCGTTTTCCTGGTCTGTGATTAAAGACACTGTCACCCCAATCAACCTCTTTGGTTATGGATTAGCTTTCTTGGGTGTGGCATACTACAATCACTCAAAACTACAGGCGCTTAAGGCCAAGGAGTCACAGAAGAAGCCTTCTCAGACTGATGATGAGGAGGCTGGCAGGTTGTTGGAGGAAAGGGATGGGGAGAATGTACCTAAAAAGAATGAATCACCCTAACAAGATCACACTATATGAGTGTTCATGAGTTTGTTATGGAGAGGAGCTAAAAAATGAAAATCAGATGGCATTTGGTTTTCTTTGGGCAATAGATATGTGAAACGTTTTTTGTCTACTAGATTTAAGGTAACCTATTTTAGATCATTCCTATGTCTTAAGCTTTACTTGAGGCTCTTTATATATGTCTTACATTTCACATTCGATTTATTTAATTAATTAACATGATTTTCAAGCTTCTTATTCATTAAAGTGTGGGTTCTTTTCTGTATTGCCTTGTCCATTTCTAGCGATTCATCCCTTTTTTTTCATTTTTTTGGTTGTTGGAGTCTCTAATCTTAACTTAGCATAGAGTAGTAGAAAAAGAGCCTATAGTGACACTAAATTAGTGTGGCACTGAAAAATGTCAGGAAAATGGCAGCTACTGACAGTAAGGGCCTGTTTGGATGGGGTGTTGAAGGGTGTTAGTAATGGCAGTGTTAAGGAGTGGTGGCCTTGACACTTGTTTGGGAGAAAAATCATATAAATATGGAGTGTTAGTAAATGTTTAAAAGTGTTAGGGGATACCACCCTAACACCCCATTATGTGACATTTTTAACTCCCCAAATTGGAGTGAATTGAAGTGTTGGACATGTCTTGCCTCTTTCACGCTGCCCTATTCTACCTCTTATCCCCAACTTCCGTTTTCCCCTACTGGCCAGATCTTCTTTGTAGATTCTTTTTCTCCATCTCCAAATCAATTATAGTCTAGTCTTCTTCCTGTAACTGTATATAATACGAAGTATATAGGAATTCTCTTTTGTTGGGTTTCTTGCTCGAGTGATATATATCAAAGCTTAAATATTCCTCGTAAGTAGGCACTAGTGCAGAGGTAAGGAGGGTCACTGTTTTGGGCAGCCATTTTCCATTTTTTGAAATCTATAATTGGATTCATGTTTGATGGGTTCCATCTTGTAACTTCTAGGCCTAGCTAATTCGGGCGAAAGCAACGATTTTGTACATGAAAATGACCGCATAAAAGTCCTTACCCTAGGAGAAGTTTTAAGGAGCCATATGTGACTCTTGTATGGAGTCGTATATGGCTCTGAAATTTTGCTTGCCCTAGCGGGTTATATATTACTCAGTAGTATTAAAAAAGATAAGGACCTTATGTCAATTAAAATAGAAACACTTTTCTTATTAACAATTCATTTTTATTACTCTTCCAAACAATGTAAGGTCGTATCTTACACTTACACTTGCTTTCCCTTCCAGACCGGTGTCAACACTTACTAATTATTCTATTACTAATACCTCTCGACACTCCATCCAACCAGGCAGTAAATAGAGTATGACACCAATGTATCGTCTAATATAGCGATATACTACGTATACAATATAACAGCTTGTGATACTAATACATGACAAAATTTTATGATATTTCGGCATCATAGAGATTTATAATACTTTACTGTAGTCTACTTTTGTGATACTTTGGTGTCATTTGATTTTGTTTATTGGGCCTATTTTTTCTTTAACAGAAACCCAAGTTACTGTTAACTTTATTTCTACATATTACTCCGTACATAATAAGATACTAAAAACAGCAAACATTTTAAATGTTTAAAATATAATACTGTTTAAATTCACTAGTGCGTTTACATTCTTGATAATATACATTTCCAACAGCTGGATAAATGCCTTGCTGGAACTCTGGGGTATCTACTACAGACTACAGTAGCATTCACTGGGGCCTTGATCGGCCTCACTGGAGCATTCAAAAACTCCGGGATAAATGCCGCACTCGGTATCACTGGAGTGCCTCGGCCTGGCGCACTACGGGCCTGCCCGCCCATGCGGAGCTGGCTAATAATGGGACCACGGTCTGGTGCAGGGCCTTGGCCTTGCTGAACTATGACTTGGGCCGCTGTTCTGGACTTTCTGAAAATCTGAAATTACGAAGCAACACAAATAGATTCAAAAATTTTAAGGAGCCCTGTATGACTCCCTTATAGTCATATGGAGTATTGTGGCATCATAAGAGAGTCATATGGGGTTTCATAAATTTACTCCAAATAGATTCTGCATCCAAAAGAATTCAAATACAATGAAGAACAAATATAAACTTAAAAAATTAAAAGAATTAAATGAATTGACAAAACTAATAGATTTGACATAACTAATTGATTCAACACAACTGCTATTTCTTATACTTGAATATATGCTCCCAGGGTATGGAGTATGGACTCGTGGCCCTTGACTAAAATCCCAAGGTAATTAAACAATTCTGTACAGACCTTACATGTAAGAACACCAAGCTCTATAACTTCCACCACCATCTATCATTGCCACATTTCTTCAACATCTTTTCTTCTTCTTCTTTGTCTTTTGCCTCCTATGGTCTCCCATCCAATTCATTCATATCAACATAGTCCATATTTTCGTTGTGACTTCATTTCAAACTTTATCGTACATACATAAAATGATTATGCGTAAGAGTCAAGTTATTTCCTTTGAAATGAATCACAGATAGTACACAACTGAAAATAAAAATAAAAAAAATGAACCACAAAATTATGTAAATTTAATTGCTTACTAAAATTCAGCAATGAGTTCATTCCCCTTTTGACCCATTGGATTTTCAATTGGCATCACGGTTTACTCTATCATAAATTCCATCATCTGGGGTTTTCAAATCAAGAAAGTGTGTTGGGTTAGGTATTGAACAAACGATTGATTTTCTTGGATGAAATTGATCGTTTATGTAAAAAACTTGTTTGGCATGTGTGACTAAAATGAAACAATCATTTTTATGACCTACTACCTCTTTCTCCCTAATATTGGGACGGAAGGGAGGACGTGGTTTTTAAGAAAAGTAGAATTATGTGGTTGATAATGAGTTGATAAAAGGGGAATAAAGTAAGAATGAATTAGAGTCACACAAATGTTATAAAATATGGTATGGGACAATAATAGGACGACATCTAAAAATGGAAAAATAAAACAATTATAGGTGGGGAGCCGCAGAGGGAGTGTCTTATTTAGATCAAGTATTGTGATTTCGAACTCATCTTTTTCCACATGCCTAATATATATCCAATCACACTTGAAAATGATCCTCTTAATAATAAGATAGTGAAGGACTCGGATTTCACTAATAACACCATAGTAATTCAAGTCTAATACAAGACTAACCCCACTATTTTGTGTAAAACTGATTTAAGTCTCGTTCATTTGTATCAAAATTAAATCCATTTACGGTGTACCTTGAATAAGTTGTCACTGTAGTGTTTGGTTTTTTTAGCTAGCCATCAGTCAATTTTATCAACTTCGATTCCATTTGCAACATCTTTAAGAACCTACAAATTATAACCTTAATATTCAATATATTTATGTTACATATTTACTACAAGTTTATAATGAGTAACCTTCTTTTCAAATCATTTATCAAACATTCGGTAAGGCTCTATTTCAATACAACCATCATAGTTCAATTGTAACTCCAACACATGCTCCCTATTGTTTTTAACGGAAACAATTAGATAATATAGTATACAGAAATTGCACAAAACTGGAAAAATAAAAGAGTGTAGAGTTTATAATATGTACGACGGAACTTCGGGTGTATTAAATAGAACAATATGATGTGCTCGCTCAAGCAGAACAATCAACTATTTTGTCTCAATTGGGTCATGATTGGAAATATACTCGGCACAAAACTCAAGTGTTCCTCTAGTGCATAACATTCGGCAATGTATCCATAGGATGGTAATTATTGCGGACAAACCCCTTTAATAATGCATGGTTATCTAAAAAAGATACATCCAATCGATGTAAGTTGGGCCACAGAAATGCACTTGGGCAACGAGATAGACCGTGAAATGAATCAAAATATCAAAAAATGATGGAAAAATTATTGCTCAAGACACCACATGGTGATGTGGTGATTGGACTCTAGTTTGTCAAGCGTATCAAGATCTACGACCTTTTTAAAAAAAAAAATTAAGACCTTCTCTCATAATATGTTAAAGAATAACATATACGGTTTATCACATACATAACATTTTATGCTAGTGACATGGTCTAAATGGCTAAGAGAAGTATTCGTTGCATCAAGGTATGACAATCGTGATATTTAAGACCTTGAAGGTGGTTCCATCATTAAAAAAACTATGCTTAACTATGCTTTTTAGGTTAGATGAATAACTTCAAGTACTTTTATTTGAAGCTTCAAGTACTTTTATTTGAAGTATGGTTTTGATTGAGGGATTTGAAGTATGCCTTTATGTCTTAAGAGCAAACAACTTCATACTCACACAATTATTCAAACGAGAGCTTGAAAAATTTAGGATGTTTTTAATTGGAACGTTTCGGTCCCAGACCAGACCAGACTTAAACATACTAGACCAGATCAGTTCCGACCAGACCAAGCCAGACCAGACTCCCGTAGTTATAAAATACACAGAGACCAGACATTTACCAGTCCAGTTCGGACCAGACTTAAACGAACCAGAACAGACAGACAAATTTCAGTCCAAGTAAAAACATCATTAGATCTCATATCTTCTGTCCAACCCTCAACCCAATTTCGTCCTCATTGTTCAACCAACTCTGAAAGCTAGAACAATATACCTTTAAGGGAGAAATTGGATGATAAAATTTGTTATTTCTACAAAGGATTACTTCTTGAAAAAGAAAGGGTGCCAAAATAATCAGAATGTAGTGGTGATACTTCCAAGAGTCCGGTGTAACGATTAGTCATTAGGAAGTTGTTTGCTCTAGAGTGACATGGTGACTACTCTTGAAAAAGGTGTGAAAAGCTTCTTAGGAGATAAGGGATTAAGCGTTGTAACATGAAGTTTGTAAGTGCTTAGTGGAACAGTTGACTAGAGGAATACATTATTCCTTGAACCACTATAAAAACCCTAATGTGGTGTACTTATTACTTTTTGATATTATGTAATTAGGCAATTCTGTTTACTCTAGAGAAACAGAAGACAAATATGCCTTAGTGTTTCTGGGCTACCCAACCAGATTTAACTATTCCGCTGTTAGGACAAATCTGTCCATATTTGTGCCAACTCTATTAGATGAACAGATTCTATCTCAACAGAAAAGAGAAATCCAAGGCAACCTCTTCACCCTCTCTAGACGGTTTCTCTACTGATTGAACAGGGATGGGACCAACATCTTTGTTTGTATTTTTGCTTATGGTGTAAGCTAAGGTGTCGGAGGAATTGATTTAGAATTCTCTTAACGAATTAATTTTTTCCTGATCTTCAAATGAGCAAGTCCATT